CCCTTGTTACTTCACCCATTGTTAGGTTCACTAATCACTCCAAGACTGGCCCACTCCCCCCCCCCCCCATGCCCAGGTCTATCCAATCTATTCCACCCAAGAAATTTCATAGTCCATTAAAATCAGCTTTTAAAAAATCTAGCACTATAACAGAATTCTCTTTTACACGTCTATCCCATTCTAGGCTAAATCTCATTTCCTTGTGATCATTGTTCCCTAACTCACTTCCAATTTCCATGTCATTAATTTGTTACGTTATGCCACTTATCAAGACAACCATCACTCCTAAGTTGCTTCAACAACACGGCCGGCCGGGCATTGTCTCAGTTTCTCCTCGACTCTCCAGACTTCTCCGTACTGACGCTGTCAGGTTTGGATAGACCCACTCAGCGGGCATGCTTTTACACTTGTTCTCTGCATTGGGGAAGGCCCCTTTCAGATGGCGCAGATTTGGACTAGGGTCATATCTGGGCAGTGATTACCTGCCCATCGTCATTTCCTTTTGAGTCACAGTTAGGTTGCTCTAACCACGGAGAGGTCCAGGTTGGTCTTCTAGGAGAAGGGGTGGCTTGGCTTTGTGGTTGATGACTGGGCGACCCTTACTCCAGTTGCAGCGAAACTGCACGGGTCAGTGGATGCCCTCTCTGAGTTTCTCTTCCCTATGGGCTCTCGACACCTTAAGAGGACCAGTGGCTGGACCTCCACTTCATCCTGCCAAGGAGCACCGTGGTGGAGTTCTGAGGGCTGGCAGGCTGTCCTGGACCGACGCCGTCTATGGAACTCGTGACGTCGCCACCCCACCCCATCTCAGCGACAGGCTTTCTGCAGGACATATGCCACGTGTAGGTGGATAGTCCTCCTTGCCAAACAACAGGCCTGGGCTGATTATTGTGCCTCTCTTCGCTTTGACTCTTCTTCTGCGGGGGCTTAGGATTTTGTTCGAAGGATGTCTGGGAGCTATTCTTAGCCTTCCATCCTGCTCATTGACCCCAGTGATAATTCGAACCTGGGAGGAGAAGCAAATGCCTGATCTTTTGGCTAACCATTTTTATGAGGTTTTCCGTGTTCCATGCATCCCCACGGGTTACGTCAGTTGGGGCCCATAAAGGGTGTTGGCCTAGCTCAGAACTCAGATCGTCCATTTACACCTAATGAACTCGAGGAGGCTTTGTCACTCTAGAATGGGCACAGTGCCGGAGAAAGACTGCATCCCATATGAATTCATTCGGAGGATGCCCTGGGCTTTTCGGTCCCACCTTCTCTTCTATAATGCCTGCTGGTTCTTGGGTGTCTTCCTTGACTCGTGGAAATGCACCATTCTTCTCCCCTTTTCCAAGCCTGGAAAGGATGCGTCGGTCCCGAGCTCATATCGGTCTGCTTCCATGGCTCAGGAAATTCATGGAACGCCTGGTACCCCTCCGGCTGCAGTTGGTAGCAGAGACATCGGGTCTCCTGCCAGAGGGCTTCAGTTAGTTTCGGTCGAGAAGGAGCACTATGGACTGTCTCCTCACCTCTGAACATCGAAGAATGAACACTGATCGTAGTCGTCGGAGGGTGCTTCTTGCAGATTTCTTTGACATCCAGAGTGCGTTTGACACTGCATCACAATTAGCTGTCTTTCAGGGCTTGGGCCTCTCGGGTTCCACATTGGAATGGTTTCAGAGCTATCTACAGGTAAGCTCGTTCAGAGTGGCGATGGGTGGTGTTGACTCCTCATCCCGCCCAGTCTCCAGTGGTGTTCTCCAAGGAGTGATCATCAGTCCACTCCTATTTTCCATTCTTCTGTCCGATCTCCTGGTCTTCCATGGTGCCCAAGTTTTATGCTATGCAGATCACATAACCCTTCTGGCGGATGGTGCCACTCTCCCGGAGGTGCAGAGTTCTCTGCAGGAGGCAATGAGTGTGTTCTCTGCAAGTGTGATGGGAAAGGAGCTCTCAATCAACCCGGAGAAGAGTTGCGTCATGTGCTCTCATAATGAAACCACAATGGGTTCCGTCTCTTGTCGGGATTAATGACAATGAGGTAGCTGACGCAGCATCAGGATTGACGCATGGTATCCATGAAGTTACACAGGTGTCTGGAACTAATGGAGACTCTCACATAGCTCTGGGCAGCCTGCCTTGTGGGATGGGAGGCGGAAATTTCGATAGCCCTTAAGTCCTCTTCTTTGGGTACCCTCCGGGAGAGCGCCTTCCCGCGTACTTGGGCCCATCAGAGTTCATGCATCCTTGACACAACCCTCACTCACCTTCTGACTAGGCACACCTGTCTGACTGGGCATCTCCATTGTCACTGGTTGAATGATTTTCCCTACTGCCAGTGGTGTCAGAACAAGGTGGATACTGTGGAATATCTATTTCTCCACTGCCCATGGGTTTATTGAGCTCACATCAAACTACAGAGTGCTATTCATAGGTTCGCCTCACCCGTTTTCATTGACGGAGTGGGCGCGAGAGAGGACGACATCTGCTACGACATCTTTTCTTGAAACAATCGAGGGACCCCAACTCCACAATGTTACGCGGCAATTGGTTCCACAAATCAACAACCCTGTTACTGAACCAGTATTTACCCAAGTCTTTCCTAAATCTAAACTTATCCAATTTATACCTATTGTTTCCTGTTCTGTCTTGTGTTGATACTTTTAATACCCTATTAATATCCCCTTTGTTATGTCCATTCACCCACTTGTAAACCTCTATCATGTCACCCCTAACTCTTCGCCTTTCGAGTGAATGCACCTTAAGCTTTATTAATCTTTCTTCATATGAAAGATTTCTAATTTGGGGAATTAACTTAGTCATCCTACGCTGGACACGTTCAAGTGAATTTATATCCATTCTATAATATGGCGACCAAAACTGGACTGCATAATCAAAAGGGGGCCTAACCAGAGCAAGATATAGCTTGAGAACCACACCAGGTGTCTTGTTACTAACGCTGCGATTAATAAATCCAAGTGTCCGATTTGCCTTATTACGAACATTTATGCATTGATCCTTTTGTTTTAAATTCTTACTAATCATAACTCCCAGATCCCTTTCGCAATTCGACTTCGCAATCTCAACACCATCTAGCTCGTATCTTGTAACCCTATCATCATTACCTAACCTCAGAACTTTACATTTATCAGCATTAAACTGCATCTGCCAATCCTTCGACCATTTCAAAACCCTATCTAGATCAACTTGAAGTGATAGTGAGTCCTCTTCCGAATTAATTTCCTTACCGATTTTCATATCATCGGCAAATTTGCAAATGTTGCTACTCAAACCTGAATCTAAATCATTTATATATATTATAAACAACAGAGGTCCCAGGACAGAGCCCTGAGGCACCCCACTTACAACATTTTCCCACTCTGACTTGACTCCATTTATACTAACTCTCTGTTTCCTTTGGTATAGCCATGCCCTAATCCAGCTTAATATAGCACCCCCAATACCATGAGACTATCTTTTTAATCAGTCTTTCATGTGGCACTGTATCAAAAGCTTTGCTAAAGTCAAGGTACACAACATCGCAATCCTTACCACTATCAACTGCCTCAACAATGCTAGAATAAAAAGATAACAAATTTGTTAAACATGAACGGCCATTTATAAAACCATGTTGCAACTCAATTATTAATTTATGTTATTCAAGATGAAAACGAATTTTATTTGCTATTATAGATTCGTGTACCTTTCCCACAATAGACGTTAGGCTAATTGGTCGATAGTTAGACGCAAGTGATCTATCTCCTTTCTTAAAAACTGGTATCACATTAGCAACATTCCAAAACTCTGGCACTCTGCCTGACTCTATTGATTTATTAAATATGGTTGACAGTGGGTCACAAAGCTCCTCTTTGCATTCTTTAAGCACCCTGGCAAACACTTCATCCGGCCCTGGGGATTTGTTTGGTTTGAGTTTTACTATTTGTTTAAGAACATCCTCCCTGGTAACTGCTAAACTCGTCAACCTGTCCTCGTCCCCACCCACATAGACTTGTTCGGTTGAAGGCATATTGTTAAGTTCCTCTTTAGTAAATACAGATACCAAATATTTATTAAAAATACTACTCATCTCTTCATCACTATCTGTTATTTGACCTGTCTCAGTTTTTAATGGACCTATCCTTTCCCTAGTCTTAGTACGATATAACTGAAAAAACCCTTTAGGTCTTTGCTTTGCATGCTCTGCTATGCGAACTTCATAGTTTCTTTTTGCTTTCCTTATCTCTTTTTTAACATTTCTAACCAGTTGTACGAATTCCTGTTCTAAAGTGACCTCCCCATTTTTAATCCTTTTGTACCAAGCTCTCTTTTTACCTATAAGGTTCTTCAAATTCTTTGTTATCCACTTTGGGTCATTAGTATTCGATCTATTCAATTTGTATAGTATACTACGTTCCTGTGCTTTGTTTAGAATATTCTTAAATAAGTTATATATTGAATCCACATCGAAATCCCCATTTACGTCACCTATCGCTGGGTTCATGTCTCGCTCCAAGACCGGCCCCCAGCCCATACCCAAGACTTTCCAATCAATTTGACCCAAAAAATTTCTTAGGCTATTAAGATCAGCTTTTCGAAAATCTGGCACTTTAACAGAATTTTCTCCTACAGGTCTATTCCAAAATATACATATCATTCACTTTATTGGATATGCCCGTCAACTGAAGAGGCTGTAAGGATCCCATCCCTATTCGCAATTTCCAAGTATTAGGCAGCCAGGCGCATCCGATCCCTCGATCGTCGTCGACCCTAAATCAACAACACCAACATCATTCTTGCCATAGAAATTTCCCGGTTATCTGTGCATATATCAATTACATTGCATTAGATTTGCCATATTTGTTCTTATGTTCTTGAATCAGAAGTCGTTTTTCTTGTACCCCACCAGTGTAAAAAAAAAATCTGTTTTAGTTTTAGTGGATATAAATAAAAGTTGCCTTGAATGGGCCAATAGGCTTTCTGTAGTTCCATTAATTCTAATATTGTTATGTTGTGTACAGGAGCTTCAGAATGTTTGGTGAAAATGAGGGCTGGCGGTACATACTACACTCACTGTGGGCTTGGGGCGTGCCGGGGCTCATCACCACCCTCGCCCTCACCCTCAACCACTACCGCGCCTCCCTCCCCTGCAGCGTCATCACCCCCAGGATTGGCCTCAACAACTGCTTCTTCTCAGGTCAGTCTCCCATGTTGTACCTACCCCTGCAGGAGCCGTGCTGTAAACATTGCTATGTCAGAGTCACATATTTTGGAAATTAGATAAACCAAAGAACAGGTTAAGTGGAATATGACTGTATTTACAAATCTGATTGAATTATCACAGACCAAAAGGCCAAACTGGTGTATCTGTACGTGCCCATGTTGCTGACGCTGTGTGCCAACACCTTCCTGCTGGTTGCCTCCCGCTACGTCCGCTCAGCAAACCTGCGCCGAATGGAAAAGGGTTAGTTTAGTTCATATATTTTGCACCCCAGCTATATCCATACTGTGGAAGTGAAAATGTTAGAGGCACGTAATAGGGTCATGAACTAAACCCCATTATTCGGTTAGCATGTTACATCATGTTTGATAACCGGTTTCGCCAGGATTGTGAAGATGTTTTGAGAGTGTGTCACATCACGGAAAGCGGGAGCTAGACCCATTGAGTAGACCCAACTAGCTAGACCCACTAATTGTCAAGAGGACGGCGTTCATCGATTGAAGAACCTCGAGAGAAGAGACGGGTACTTGTGATACAAGATATTATCACGGTGACAAGGAGTCCACATTAAAAGAAAAACACGGAGGGTAACGAAGATAACCAGGACCCTGAGAGAAGAGTCTCGGCCATCGTCATGAGAGTGAGAGACACCATAAACTGGTGGATAAGAGCTGGAGCTATTCACTGTGATGGTAGGATTGCAAATACCAGAGGAAAGGGCCTGTAGGGGTTTATGGAGGAACTTTAATGAACAGTGAGGGATTAAGGAGATTCTCAGAGGCCATCAGCAGAGTGAGCGGTTGAAGTGTATGGTGAAACAAGGGGGTGAGATTGATGCCACAATGTGGTTGTGAGGAACCAGCCCACAACGAGGTACTTTAAAGTTATAACCTGAAGGGTACCGAGAGTTAGAGCCCCAGGTGTGCAGTGAGGGTAGCAGCATCCCTGTGTGAGGAATATACAGGAGTTACAAGAGTAGGGCCAAGAGGTAGAGCCCCAGGTGAACAGTGAGGGTCGCTGTATCCCTGAGTGAGGGACTGTATAATGAGTTTTCCAAAAAAACAAGGGTCCACAAGTGAGGTGGGGCCCAGAGCTGAGTACCAGGGAGTGTGATTGTGAAGGCACATCCCAGGGAGGTAAACCAAGTTTATAGAGATATATTGTGTGACGAGTTTTGACCCCCAATTACGTATCTCACAGAATCGCCAATTATACTCCGGCATACTATGCCATAAGAGGAGTCGAGGTTTCTATAGAACGCTCGACAATGTCCACCCTAAGTGCTGCAGCACTCTCCGCTCTAGAGCTCCTCTCTGTTTGGGGCCTATTCCCCTCCCTAGGTACCACTTTTCACCTCTGGGGAGCACCCCAGTTGAACTATGGAGCCCCAGTCCTCCCCCACCGTTTCTCCCTCCCCCATCCCCTCGTCCTCCCCACAATTCCTCTCTCCCCCGTCCCCTTGTCCTCCCCATCATCCTCCACTCCACCGTCCCCTCGTACTCCCCCATTATCTCCCACTCCCCTATCCCCTCGTCCTCCCTACCTTTCTTCCCTCCCTGTCCTCCTCACCATTCTCCATTCCCCGTTCCCTCGTCCCCACCATCCCCAACTCCCCGTCCTCTCGTCCTCCCCACCATTACCCCCCTCCCCTGCCCCTCGTCTTCCCCACCGCACACTTGCACAGCGTAGACTTGCATTGCATTCCATTTGCAAAGCAACATTGCAAGGGCTCTGATTCCCTCATTTGATGGCTATATTATATCTCTGCCTTGCATGTAACAGTTATGTTTTGAGTAGCTGAGTGCAATCAGTGATGACAGTCACATGCTATTAATGGTTCAACTCTGGATACATTACTCGTTTGAGTCCAAAGATTATGGAAATATTTCTGGTTGAAGAGTGGAACTCTAGTTTATCATTCAAACTCTTCACACAGAATAGGAGCGGTCTCTCCCTATGACAGCTGCACTTGCCACAGCACCAATTTGGAGTAGGGAATCATCAGCAAAATGGTATGGGAATGGGAGAACTGTGAAAAAGAGGCTCTTTCTGTCTGAAGGCATTGTATTTTGCCTCTAGTCTATGCAGTGACTTATCCTGAATAATCTTCGTGGTTGAGAATGGAAATGCTGTCCTTGCCTCTTGACATCATGAACCCGATGCACGCTGTTCATGGGCATCAGATTCGAACAGTGTTCTTCCTTTTGTTCCGTTCTACCTTCGACGCAATCGGAAACCCTCATGTGTTCAGTAGAACTCCAGGTTGCAATCCATATGTGATCCTGACGTGATCTAGTCGTCTAGAGCATGTGCAAAGGAACACCCACCGCATGGGTTCAAACCCTCATCAAGGGTCCTTGCATTTTTCCATTCTTCTTCATCTTCTTCTTCTTCTTCTTCTTCTTATTATTATTATTATTATTATTATTATTATTATTATTATTATTATTATTATTATTATTATTATTATTATTATTATTATTATTATTATTATTATTATTATGATTATGATTATGATTATTATTATTATTATTATTATTATTATTATTATTATTATTATTATTATGATTATTATTATTAGTATTATTATTATTATTATTATTATTATTATTATTATTATGATTATTATGATTATTATTATTATTATTATTGTTATTATTATTATTATTATTATTATTATTATTATTATGATTATTAATATTATTATTATTATTATTATTATTATTAGTAGTAGTATTAGTAGTAGTAGCAGCAGTAGTAGTAGTAATAATATTATTATTATTATTAATCATAAGATGGTAATACACCGACTATCACCACTGGTAGGAAGGGTGGAGACCATGACCGCGGAGGACGGCCGCACCGTTGTCACTTCTCGGCACTCGGGACTTCGCTCCCACCGGACCCAAAACCTGTGAGTATCTCCCGACCATTGTGTTGTTAGTCACAGTACCTGAGCATGGTGTTGTTAGTCACAGTATCTGAGCAGGGTGTTGTTAGTCACAGTACCTGAGCATGGGGAGTTAGGCACACTACCTGAACATGGTGTTGTTAGTCACAGTACCTGAGCATGGGGAGTTAGGCACACTACCTGAACATGGTGTTGTTAGTCACAGTACCTGAGCATGGCGTTGATAGTCATTGTACCTGAGCTTGGTGTTGTTAGACATTGTACCTGAGCATGGTGTTGTTAGTCACAGTACCTGAGCATGGCGTTGTTAGTCATTGTACCTGAGCATGGTGTTGTTAGTCACAGTACCTGAGCATGGTGTTGTTAGTCACAGTACCTGAGCATGGTGTTGTTAGGAACAATACCTGAGCATGGTATTTTTAGTCACACTACCTGAGCATGGTGTTGCTAGTCACACTACGTGAGCATGGTGTTGTTAGTCACACTACCTGAGAATGGTGTTGTTAGTCACACTACCTGAGCATGGAGTTGTTAGTCACAATACCTGAACATGGTGTTGTTAGGAACACTAACTGAGCATGATGTTGTTAGGAACACTACCAGAGCATGGTGTTTTTAGGCACACTACCTGAGCATGGTAATATTAGTCACACTACCTGAGCATGGTGTTGTTAGCCACGCTACCTGAGCATGGGGGTGTTAGTCACACTACCTGAGAATGGTGTTGTTAAACACACTACCTGAGCATGGTGTTGTTAGACACAATACATGAGCATGGTGTTAGAGACACTACCTGAGCATGGTGTTGTTAGCAACACTACCTCAGCATGGTGTCGTTAGGCACAATACATGAGAATGGTGTTGTTAGTCACACTACCTGAGCATGGTGTTGTTAGTCACACTACCTGAGCATGGTGTTGTTAGTCACACTACCTGAGCATGGTGTTGTTAATCACACTACCTGAGCATGGTGTTGTTAATCACACTACCTGAGCATGGTGTTGTTTGGCACACTACCCAAGCATGGTGTTGTTAGACACAATACCTGAGTATGGCAGTGTTAGACACACGACCTGAGCATGGTGTTAGGCACACTACATGAGCATGGTGTTGTTAGGCACACTACCTGCGCATAGTGTTGTAAGACACACTACTTGAGCATGGTGTTAGGCACACTACTTGAGCATGGTGTTAGGCACACTACCTGACCATTGTGGTGTTAGAAACATAACCTGAGCATGGTGTTGTTAGTTTCACTACCTGAGTATTGTATTATTAGTCACACTACCTGAGCATGGTGTTATTAGGCACACTACCTGAGCATGGTGATGATTAGCACACCAACTGAGCATTGTGTTGTTACTATCACTACCTTAGCATGGTGTTTTTAGGCACACTACCTCAGCTTGGTGTTGTTAGTCACCCTACCGGAGCATGGAGTTGTTACCCATGCTACCTGAGCATGGTGGTGTTAGTCACACTGTCTGAGCATGGTGTTGTTAGTCACAATTCCTGAGCATGGTGTTGTTAGGCAAACTACCTGAGCATGGTGTTGTTAGGCACACCACCTGAGCATGGTGTTGTTAGTCACACTACCTGAGCATGGTATTGTTAGTCACAGTATCTGAGCAGGGTGCCATAGGCACAATCAGAGAACATAGTATAAACATCAGAAGTCCGCGGTTGTTCAACGTCCTCCCAGCAAGCATAAGAAATATTGCCGGAACAACCGTGGACATCTTCAAGAGGAAACTAGATTTATTCCTCCAAGGAGTGCCGGACCAACCGGGCTGTGGTGGGTATGTGGGCCTGCGGGCCGCTCCAAGCAACAGCCTGGTGGACCAAGCTCTCACAAGTCGAGCCTGGCCTCGGGCCGGGCTTGGGGAGTAGAAGAACTCCCAGAACCCCATCAACCAGGAATCAACCAGGGTGTTGTTAGTCACAGTACCTGAGCATGGGGAGTTAGGCACACTACCTGAACATGGTGTTGTTAGTCACAGTACCTGAGCATGGCGTTGATAGTCATTGTACCTGAGCATGGTGTTGTTAATCATTGTACCTGAGCATAGTGTTGTTAGTCACAGTACCTGAGCATGGCGTTGTTAGTCATTGTACCTGAGCATGGTGTTGTTAGTCACACTACCTGAGCATGGTGTTGTTAGTCACACTACCTGAGCATGGTGTTGTTAGTCACACTACCTGAGCATGGTGTTGTTAATCACACTACCTGAGCATGGTGTTGTTAATCACACTACCTGAGCATGGTGTTGTTTGGCACACTACCCAAGCATGGTGTTGTTAGACACAATACCTGAGTATGGCAGTGTTAGACACACCACCTGAGCATGGTGTTGTTAGTCACACTACCTGAGCATGGTATTGTTAGTCACAGTATCTGAGCAGGGTGCCATAGGCACAATCAGAGAACATAGTATAAACATCAGAAGTCCGCGGTTGTTCAACGTCCTCCCAGCAAGCATAAGAAATATTGCCGGAACAACCGTGGACATCTTCAAGAGGAAACTAGATTTATTCCTCCAAGGAGTGCCGGACCAACCGGGCTGTGGTGGGTATGTGGGCCTGCGGGCCGCTCCAAGCAACAGCCTGGTGGACCAAGCTCTCACAAGTCGAGCCTGGCCTCGGGCCGGGCTTGGGGAGTAGAAGAACTCCCAGAACCCCATCAACCAGGTATCAACCAGGGTGTTGTTAGTCACAGTACCTGAGCATGGGGAGTTAGGCACACTACCTGAACATGGTGTTGTTAGTCACAGTACCTGAGCATGGCGTTGATAGTCATTGTACCTGAGCATGGTGTTGTTAATCATTGTACCTGAGCATAGTGTTGTTAGTCACAGTACCTGAGCATGGCGTTGTTAGTCAATGTACCTGAGCATGGTGTTGTTAGTCACACTACCTGAGCATGGTGTTGTTAGTCACACTACCTGAGCATGGTGTTGTTAGTCACACTACCTGAGCATGGTGTTGTTAATCACACTACCTGAGCATGGTGTTGTTAATCACACTACCTGAGCATGGTGTTGTTTGGCACACTACCCAAGCATGGTGTTGTTAGACACAATACCTGAGTATGGCAGTGTTAGACACACTACCTGAGCATGGTGTTAGGCACACTACATGAGCATGGTGTTGTTAGGCACACTACCTGCGCATAGTGTTGTAAGACACACTACTTGAGCATGGTGTTAGGCACACTACTTGAGCATGGTGTTAGGCACACTACCTGACCATTGTGGTGTTAGAAACATAACCTGAGCATGGTGTTGTTAGTTGCACTACCTGAGTATTGTATTATTAGTCACACTACCTGAGCATGGTGTTATTAGGCACACTACCTGAGCATGGTGATGATTAGCACACCAACTGAGCATTGTGTTGTTACTATCACTACCTTAGCATGGTGTTTTTAGGCACACTACCTCAGCTTGGTGTTGTTAGTCACCCTACCGGAGCATGGAGTTGTTACCCATGCTACCTGAGCATGGTGGTGTTAGTCACACTGTCTGAGCATGGTGTTGTTAGTCACAATTCCTGAGCATGGTGTTGTTAGGCAAACTACCTGAGCATGGTGTTGTTAGGCACACCACCTGAGCATGGTGTTGTTAGTCACACTACCTGAGCATGGTATTGTTAGTCACAGTATCTGAGCAGGGTGCCATAGGCACAATCAGAGAACATAGTATAAACATCAGAAGTCCGCGGTTGTTCAACGTCCTCCCAGCAAGCATAAGAAATATTGCCGGAACAACCGTGGACATCTTCAAGAGGAAACTAGATTTATTCCTCCAAGGAGTGCCGGACCAACCGGGCTGTGGTGGGTATGTGGGCCTGCGGGCCGCTCCAAGCAACAGCCTGGTGGACCAAGCTCTCACAAGTCGAGCCTGGCCTCGGGCCGGGCTTGGGGAGTAGAAGAACTCCCAGAACCCCATCAACCAGGTATCAACCAGGGTGTTGTTAGTCACAGTACCTGAGCATGGGGAGTTAGGCACACTACCTGAACATGGTGTTGTTAGTCACAGTACCTGAGCATGGCGTTGATAGTCATTGTACCTGAGCATGGTGTTGTTAATCATTGTACCTGAGCATAGTGTTGTTAGGCACAGTACCTGAGCATGGCGTTGTTAGTCATTGTACCTGAGCATGGTGTTGTTAGTCACAGTACCTGAGCATGGTGTTGTTAGTCACAGTACCTGAGCATGGTGTTGTTAGGAACAATACCTGAGCATGGTGTTGTTAGTCACACTACCTGAGCATGGTGCTGCTAGTCACACTACGTGAGCAAGGTGTTGTTAGTCACACTACCTGAGAATGGTGTTGTTAGTCACACTATCTGAGCATAGTGTTGAAAGACACACTACCTGAGCATGGTAGTAGACACACTACCTGAGCATGGTGTTGTTAAACACACTACCTGAGCATGGTGTTAGAGACACTACCTGAGCATTGTGTTGTTAGCCACTTTAACTCAGCATAGTGGTTAGGAACACTAACTGAGCACGATGTTGTTAGGAACACTACCAGAGCATGGAGTTTTTAGGCACACTACCTGAGCATGGCAATATTACTTACACTTCATGAGCATGGTGTTTTTAGTCAGAATACCTGAGCATGGTGTTGTTACTCACACTACCCGAGCATGGTGTTGTTAGGTACATTACACGAGCATGGTGTTATTAGTAACACTACCTGAGCATGGTGTTGTTAGTCACACTACCTGATCATGATTTTGTTAGGCACACTAGCTGAGCATGGTGATGTTAGTCACACTACCTAAACATGATGTTCTTAGGCACACCTATTGAGCATGGTGTTGTTAGACACATTACCTGAGCATGGTGATGTTAGGCTCACCAAATGAACATGGTGTTGTTATTCACACTACCTGAGCATGGTGTTGTTAGGACCACTACCTGAGCATGGTGTTGTTAGGACCACTACCTGAGCATGGTGTTTTTAGGCACACTACCTCAGCACGGTGTTGTTAG